AAACATCTAATTGATACATAGGTGAGGAAGTTATTTATTGAAGTAATACAATGAAATATTTTTTAAGTTGTAACACTGAAAAATGTCTTGCCTTTTCTTATTTCTAACAATTTTTCTTCAAAAAAATACCAAATTAGAAAATTCTATTGGGCAGAATGGCTTGTGGTTTTAATATATTTGAGAGAGAACATAACCTGGTCCAAATCCTAGAAATCATGGATTTGCCACTAATTAAATTTATAAGATTTTCTACTTTAGTCTCCTCATCTATAAAGTGGAAATAATGAAAGCATCAGCCTCAAAGGAAAATGCAAACACTTTTACAAAAAAAATGTATAATCTGTGTAAATTGCACAGAACAGGATCTGACATATAGGAAAAAATGAATGTTAAAAAATAGAAGAAAATCAGCTGGGTGGTGGCACATGCCATTAAATCCCAGAACTGGGGAGGCAGAGGTAGGTGGATCTCTTTGAGTTCAAGACCAGCCTGGTCTACAAAGCTTGTTCTAGGACAGCTAGGGCTACAAAAAGATACCCTGTCTGGAAAAAAAAACACACATTGAAGAAATAATTTGACCTTTGCTTGAAATTCCTTTCCTTAATTGAAAATAATTTGATAAGCTACGTTTAAAGTATTTCAAATCCATGATCATCCTTACTTCACATTTTTTCTTTCTATTGTAGAAAACACATATACAGATATCAATTCATATTATATAATCAGAAACTAAATTTCTACAACTATCAGAGTTCATTTATGTTATCTAGTATATCCAAACAAGCCTGTGTTGAATAGTATAGTTAAAAGGAATTAAAGGCATAGGTTGTCAAGCACATATACAGCCAATCATAATTTTGATTTCTCTACTACTTAAAGTTCAATATTTAACTTTTTGAAGGAAGGAAAACCATTTGGATCTATACTGTTATGTGGTTCTTGATATAACTAGAAAGGTAGTATTTATGAGAAACTTTTTTTGGGGGGGGGGAAATGTTTTAAAGTAAAGACATTTACTAATCAGAACTGATCAACTTCAGTTAAATGGAAAATGTTGGAAAACTATTCCTCTATGTAAAATTGGCCTTTCACCTATCATATTTATGAAGTACAGTTAATAACATTTAAATATAATATTTATTATTTGAGAATATCATACAGTGTGCTTCAATTATATTCCTACCCCTTCTTCTCACCCTAACTCTTCCCCGATCAACTCCAACCTCCCTAAGCCCTTAGATGAATTATTGTTAATGACAGGTGATAGGATTAAGACTTTGTAAGCAGTCAAGTAAATCCTTTTTCTTTTTAGCACTTGGTCATTGATAATTTCATGCAAGTATTTAAGGTATTTTGAACATATGCATTTCTCCCTTCTTCTCTCTCCTCCTCCCACTCTTGCTGAACTTCTTTCCACTCAGTTCATCTCTTTCTGTTTGATTTTTCCCCCTCTGCTTTTGTGCATGTGAGAGAGTGTGTGTATGTGTGTGCACGTGTGCGCGCGTGCATGTTCATGTGTGAAATACTCACTGTGTTTAATTATGATTGCTTGCATGAGCACAGGTGGGAGGTTATTTATTGAATCATGGGCAATTTACCAGTGGCTATGACACTGAATGCAATAACTTCTCCTTTTCCAGAAGCCATTAATTGCTAATGGCTCTTCAGGGAAGGGTGGGGCCTTGTGACCCCCCTCCCCCATCCCTGGTGGAATATGGAAAGGCTCTTCGTGTGTACTATTTGTACAGATAATCGCATCTGCCTTTCATGATAAGAATGAATCTTGTCAATCATGCAAATGTCATAACATGAAACCACTGTTTTCTAAAAGAGCACTTCAAATAAGCTTGGTACAGATTTAATGTAATTTAATTTTTAACATAGGTGTGCCTAAGCCACAGCAGGTTTGGTGGTTTTGTCTCCACTTCTGCCGTTAAACAACTTATTTTAAAAGGATGCTTTTTTTTCATTTTGCAAAAGTGCTTCATTAACATCTTCAAAAATTCAACTCTTTTAAGGCAAACATATTACTGACTAAGGATTATCAAACCCTGGCTTTTAAAATTTTCTCAAATTTATCTTTGTTGTGACAGAAAGTCATTCATAACATCTATTATATTATAGTTAATGATAGCAAACCCCAGTTATGACATTATTTGTCTCATGTTTGTCTTCCTAACTATGGTGTTTTGAAAGGAGCTCCTCACAATACTTTGATCTTTGCATTGTGTGCAGCTGTGGTTTTCTGTTCTGATCTCCTTTTGATAATTGGTTGTCCAATACAAAGTACTCAGCTCTGAAGCCATATGTATTCAAAAAACAAAATAACACAACTTAGTTTGTATTTATATAAATACAAACAAATATACATACCATATATTGTAAAGATGTATAGCAGGCACACTCATAAAATTGTATGTAGTGATATATTATTTATGATTTATTAAAGCTTGCCTGAGGATTCAGATAGCAAAGCCAGCCACAAGCTATACAGTTCAGGCACTGGTGATACACACCTTTAATCCCAGCAGTTATACTAGTTAGCCAGCAGTCATGGCACATACCTTTAATCCCTGGACTCAGGGGATAGGCAGATGGATCTCTCTGAGTTCAAGGCCACCCTGGCCTACACAAGAGTAAAAATTACCAGAGCTCAAGCCTTTGTTCCCAGCATTTGAGATGGCATGCCTATAATCCTAACACTAGGGAGGAGACAGGACTTGAGACTTTTTGCCTCTGAGAATTTCTGGAGACAAAATTGCCATTGCAGCTTGGTAGAGGTAAGATCTGGCTTGGCTACTTTGTTTCTCTGGTCTTCAGCTTGAAGCTTGAATCCCAGTACTGTCTCTGGGTCTTTTATTTTCCATGTTACAATTGTGTATAATTGTTTGTTTTTAAATTTATTTCAATAAACTGAATTACAAGTTATTTACTGTTACGGAATAATGATACCAAGACGATTGTCCTGTTTGTTGAGGTTGTAGAACCTTTTAGAGGTAGAGGCTAGCTGAAGGAAATAGGTTGAGTGCCCTGAGGTTTACCATCCAGGCCCCTTGGACCTGAGCTTTCTGACTATGAGTGGGTATCATGTGAGCAAGCTGCCCTGAAAGCTTCCATAGCCATACACTTCTCCATTTCAGTCATAATGATTTCCCATCTTGATGGACGAACTCTTCTGAACTGTACACCAAAGAAATATTTTTGCCACCACCTTGTTTTATTTATGTATTTTGTCATAGGGAGACTTAATTAATATAGCTCATTACAGGGTACCTGATAATTCAGGTAAATTTATTTTATTGTTTTATATACATATACAATATTTGTTATTCTTTGAGCAATTTGTGGATGTATAAAATGTATTTTAACCATATCCACCTGCATGCTACCTCCAACTCCTCCCAGCACCCCTGCCACAATACCTCCCTCCTCCCAACTTTATGTATGTCCTCCTTATAAATGACCCACTGGTGCTAATTAGTGCTGCTCATATGGCCATGGGTATGTGGCCATCCACTGGAACATGGGCACTGTAATTGCAATTTGTTTGTTCCTCTAGCAAAACTTTGATTCTCGTATGTATTACTTTTGTATCCCACATTGTATTTATTGGTGGAGAAAATTTTAACATCATGCTGCAAATTTTAGATAAAGTTTGGCACTATGTAGTTACCAAATCACATTTTATGCTCTATTAGTATATTACCAAAACCTTGTGTTGCAAGTGAGCTAAACAAAGACGCCTTCTACTAGTAAAGAACCAGTAAGTGGTCTTCATGAACAACTTTTCTCTATGGGGAGCCATATAGAATGCCTTTTATACTTGGGTTATTTCTCAACATCTTTAGATAAGACCATTTACTATCGAGTTGTACCATATTTTTACCTTAACCTTCAACGACACTTTCTCTGTGAAACAGCCATCACTCCTTCTACTGCTTTTCAATTTTGCTACTATTGAGACTTAGAAAACATATATATATATATATATATATATATATATATATATATATATATATCAAAATTTTGATGGTGTTGAGAATATGAGATCCAATGAAAAAACATCAATAAACAAAATAAGACCTGGGGAAGAGAGTTTATTTCAGTAGAATGGTATAAAACAACAAGTCTACCATTGTGTACCCTGTTCTTACCCTGTTCTTGTTATGTAAATGCTTTACACACTTAATGCTATAAGGTGAAGCTGCCTACTTTGCATAGAGTTTCAAATGAAAACTTACCTATTATCATAGTTTGACTAATCATCCATGATACCATTATAGAGAAAACTGGGAGTGTTTTCTTGGAGAACAAAAGGGATTAAGACTACAGCTTCTATGTGGGGTGTTCTGGCCGTATGTTTACCATCACTGTCTAATAATGATGTACAATGAATTTTTTTTGTGTGTGAGACAGGGGGCTTCTCTGTGTAGCCTTAGCTGTACTGGAACTGACTGTAGACCAGGTTGGTGTAGAACTTACAGAAATCCTCCTCCTGCCTATGCCTCTCAAGTTCAGGGATTAAAGGCATGTACCACCACCGCCCAGTCCAGGTCTCAAGTCTTAAACAAAAAAGCATAGTAGTTTTGTAATGTGCTTTGGCACATAAGCTACAAGAGAGTCAGATGACTGATCATAAAGAAAAACTTCTACATATCAAAGGACATCACTGATCATACTGTAACACAAACAGTAATAAGTGTTAGTGGCAGATTTGTAACTGATACAATTTAAAAGCAATATAATAAATATTAATGAAAATACCAAATATGCTTTGACTGAATTGAATTATCCTTAAGATATAAAAAAATGAATGAGTGAGTATACATAAACAAATTCCCTCAGAACTTTCAAATGCTTAAAATATTGGGTTTTATGTGCTAATAATTCATTTCAATAAAAAACCCTCAAATGTTTTCCTGAACACCAATGAGAAAAAAAATCAAGAATTTTAATATCCCACTAAACTACAGTTTTTAAAATATCACAAACCATAATCATCTTTGGGGATCTGTTTTATTATGTTAAATCCAGCAAAACTTTGTGCATACACATATAATCAAAACTGCCCTCCTGAAATAAACATTCAAATTTCTTCAAAAACGAAATTAAGATTTTTATGTTCTTTCCAAGCTACTAATACAGTTAGATTTGGTAATGGCAATTCTAATTCTTAACATTACCTGAAAATAGTTGACCTTCTTTATAAAAGCAACCTAGATAGAACTACAGCAAAGTTGTACCAAACGCTTTCTTTTGGATTTCTCCTACTTTGCAAAATTATCACGTATAAGAATAAAATTGAAACTCAAATGTTTAATATATAACTTACACACAGTGAAATTCACAAAGTTGCAAGTATACATTTTATATTTTGCACTACTATAATCACAAAATGTATAAAGATGTCATGTTAGGTATTTTGCAACTAATAACCTGTATGAAGATGGTCCAAGATTGAATGATGCTAAAGAAAAGCACTGTTTATAAAATATCTGATAAAAATATTTATCTCTATTAACATTACAACAGGAAGGTACATGTTACCAAATTAAGACATCACATAGGGCAGTTTTAGACAACACTCAGAGACTCCTCCTTTTCTCCATCTTGTTTGAAATCTTTGTTTTCAGCTTCCACCTTGTTTTCATCATTTCCTTCCCCTGCAACCTCTTTTTCTTTTCCTTCTTCCTCCTTTCTATCTTCGTCTTTTCCAACATCTTTCTCCTTTCCATCTTCCTCACTCTGGCCTTCCTTTCCATCTTCCTCATTTTCTTCTTCTTCGCATATTCCAGCTTCCTCTTCTTTTTCCTCTTTCTGTTCTTTTACTTCTTCCTCCAGTTCAGCTTTCTCTTCCTTGTAAGCTTTCTCTTCTTCCTTCTTCCCATCTCCTTGCTCTTTGTCATCTTCTTTTTCATCGCCCCCTTTCTCTTCATCATCTTTGTCCTCTTTTACATTCTCACTTTCTGCTGAATCTGTCTTCTCTTCTAGGATTTCTTCCCTATTTTCATCTTTTACCTCCTCACCTTTCTCTTTATCTGCTTTCCCATCTTCATCTTTCTCTATATTTTGGACATTTTCTTCCAGCTCATCATCTTTTCCTTCTGCGGCCACAGCTTCTTTCTTTTCTCCTCCATCTTCGGCATCTTCATTCATCTGTTCCTTTATTTCCTCAGTTTCCATTTTAGGAATGGGTGCCTAGAGACAATGAGTTAAAACAAGATTGTAAATTTAGAGCTATTTTCTATCACATGTTTAGATCAGATTATATCTGTTTTATGAAAAGCTTGATGAAATTTCTTTTGCCAGAAAGTAGTTTTCCTGAGGAAAAACCATGATATATGAAAAATATTCTAAACAATATACAACCATAATATCTTGATACAGAGCACCACAAATAGATGTCTCAAACCATAAATTCAGTAAAGCTTGTCTATATAAACAATTCTCACTACAAATATGATGAAACAAACTAATAACAAAGGATGTTTATTTATACTATGTCACAAATTTTCAGTAAGTAAAACATGTGGAGATAAAGAAGTCCTTGGGAAAATAATGCTGTTTTTCCTTTTGAGATGAGGTCTTGCTACATAGCCCAAGCTGGCCTTGAACAAACAGTGATTCTCCAGCTTCTACCCACCATATACTGTGTGTGGTGGTTTGAATAAGAATGGCCACCAAAAGTTCATGCATTTGAATGCTTAGTCATTAGTGAGTAGGACTATTTGAGAAGGATTAGGAGGTGTTGGCCTTGTTGGAGTAGGTGTGGCCTTGTGATAAGTAGCCACCAAAGGGGTGGGCTTTGATGTTTTAGAAGCTCAACCCAGGCCCAATATCATGATCTTCCTGCTGCCTGCATAAAACTCTCAGCTACTACCTCTACTACTACTGCCTCGATGTAGAACACTCAGCTAAAACTCCAGTACCCTGTCAGTCTGTGTCAGTCTGTGTGCTGCTATGCTCCCACAATTTAGAAGAGACCATCATGGGATGCAGCTGTTTTAATCTTTTTGCATAAGCTGTACAGTTCCTTGATGACAGACTAAACCTCTGAAAGTGTAAGCCAGCCCCAATTAAGTACAAGTTGATGTGGTCATGGTGTCTCTTCACAGCAATAAAACCCTAAGGAGTAACAGGCATGTGCCGCCAAGCACAATTTACATTTATGCTTGTGTGTGTATGTTTTTGAGACAGTGTTTCATTATGTGGCTCTGGCTATCCTGTAACTCACTCCTGTCACTCCTGTTGATCATGCTGGTTTCAACCTCATAGAGAGCAAATTTGTGCTTTAAAAAAATGAAAATTACAAGAAAATCTCGTGTGATTACTTATGTTTTACATATATGTGTGTTTGATTTGACATCTCACTTTAGGTATGTTACTAGAATACCTAAAAGTATAGAATACATTAAATAGATAAAACAAAACCTATTAAAAAAACAATACATGGCAGGCCATGTATCACAGCTGCGTGCATGCATGAAGGTCTAAGTTGGAGCCCCAGCCTGGCATAAATTAGGTGTGTGTGTGTGTGGTGGTGTAGGCTTGTAATCATAACACTCAGGAGGTGGAGGTAAGGATGATCAGAAGTTCTAGGTCATTCTTGACTATATAAATGAGATTGAGTCCATCCTGGGCAATACAAGACCTCATCTGGGAAAAAAATTCTATAATTTGTTGTACTACCTACAGAGGATTTTTCTGGGGAAAGAAGTTACAAATAGTCTATGTGTTGACAAACTGAATTGAAGTTTGGGCTGTATTTAATAAGTTATAGCTGTAGTAAGGCATGTTTACTGGCACTGTTATAGCAATAGCATTGCTAACCAACTGCTTCTGCAATGCTCATACTTTGTATTTAGATGCCATTGTACCACAGAACCACTATTCATTTACTATTTTTTTTAAACTAATAGGCAAGTAAGATTGCTTCCACTTGAAATGTTAAGTTTTCCACATGATACATCTGCTAATATTTCAAAAATACCTCAATAATTTTGGCTTCTCCATTTTCAGCATTTTCCACATTGCCCTCTTCTTTAACATCTTCGGGCTTGGGTTCAGGAATTGTTATGGCACCCACATCTTTGTTTTCTTCCACTACAACATTTGTGGTCTTCAGTTTCTGTCCAGAAACACAAAAATAATAAAAACATACAATTTAGCTGCTATGCTAATTAAACCACTAAAGTGGTATTAACAGCTGATAAAATACTTTAGGGAGAGCTTTAGCATACTATACATGAATCTGATAACAAAAAAATTAACACATAACTCTTTCAGTGTTACCCCTAAAGCAGCATTAAAGTGAATTCTGTTACCCTGATATAAATTAAAATAAATCTGCTTTTATGCTGAGTGCAATGAGAAATAGCAAGTTAGTGTTCACTAGCACCACCAAGGTCCAATTCCCAGCATCCGATTAGACTGATAAATTGAATGTCTCTTACCAAAAGTCAGTTTATTACTGTCTAGTCTAATCATTAGCAACAGGGTTGTGTTAATTATAAAATCTCCATTGGTAGTAATTAAGAGAAATATCATGTTAGTGAGAACATCAATTTAGACACATTTATAAGAGACCGTCATAGGATTCAGCTGTATTAATCTTTAGACATAAGCTGTACAGTTCCTTAGCCTTTTTTGTTTGTTTTGCTATAAGAAAGTTCTTTGCTTATGTGTATATACAGTAGGGAGGTCATTTATTTAATGCCAGAGAAATCTATTTGAATACAAGATCTTCCACTTATCTACTGTTTTCTTGAGGAAAGGTATAAATCTCTTTCAGATTGTGTTTTCATATATAAAAAGATAATACCACTCACCACACAGGGACATGTTATAAGAATCCATTGAGAAAATATCAATGGGTTGTGTTAGAAATTATATACTATACCATACATAAAGCTATTATTCTGTTAAGAAATGAGAAACCATGATCTGAGAGATATAAAATATTTTAAAGTGTATGATTATGTAATGCCCATCAGGATTTATTCCTAACCTTTCTTTTCCCACCCTCCCTCTCTCCGTGCAACTTGCAGAAGAACAGTTCAACAGCTACTGCTGCATCGATATGTAAATTGATTGATCAAGATAATTAAACAGCCTTTAAGAAGTTTTAAATGAAAAACATCAAAAGAGTCTTACAAAAATGGTCATAGTTTGTTGTGTCTTCAGTCAGAAAATGGTAAGATTAGATGATCTCAAAGATTCTTTTATTTTCAAGGGGAAGCACAAACGCAGTCCCCCCACTGCCACAAATTATGCAGTCAAGTTTCCCTTACTTAGAGAGATGGCAGGGGTCAGCACATCTGGCATACAATGAGTAAGTCTACCCTGAAAAGACCACCTTAGTGATCACAGTATCTCTCCTGCCCGGAAATTAGTCAAATATTCTTATGATGATTTTTTTATTTTTTATTTTATTTATTTATTTTTTTTGGTGGAGGAAGGATTTATTTCTAGTCTATCATCTGGGAAAGTCAGGGCAGGAACCTGGAGACAGGTGCTGAAACAGAAGCCATGGAAGAACAGGGTTTACTGGATTGCTTTCAGCAAATATTTTTTACAGCTTTAGTCTTTTCTGATTTTTGTAATTCAACAAATTGTTAGAAAAAATTGTAATAAAGCAATTAGGAATTAACTTAATATTGATTTTATTTCTCTTTCAGCCTGTCATTAGTTCTATTGCAGACATCTATATAAAATTATTTGAATCCATTTAAAGCAACATACATAAAATCATGTCCTGAAATGTATCAAATATTAGTTGCTGTTATTATTATAATGCACTATTGGGTTACTGCAGTTCATGGCCTTTGTTTTCCTAGGAATATTGGTATTTTAGTGACTAAGTCTCAAAGACATATGCATTTAACATGTCACCCACCAACATTTTTTATTTCACAATATTGTGTTGTAACTACCAAATAAAAGTGCTAAGACACAGCTACCAATCCCACAAATATTCATCACTTAGTAGAATTATATGTACTGTATGGTACATTATATTTCTGGTTAAGCAAACTATGAAGAAAACAAAAGAATCAGTTGTGTACACTTTTGCAATTTATTTCTAAACACACACACAAACATTTTCTTCAACCTTAGAATTTGAACATTTACCCTTGGAGTTGATGTTCTTTTAGGTTTCACCTCTGGTGTAAAGGGCACAGGCATCTGCATCAGAAAACATCATTATATAAGAAAAGAGGAAGACATCATATTTGAAGAAAGAGCACTAGCAATAAAATCTAGGAGTATGATTTAAAGTAAGCACTAGGGACAAAAACAAACACAAAACAAAACATCCTATCCTTTCTTTAATGCATAAAGTTTCTTTCATAACCCTTCCAAATAAGCCTTCTATTACACATAACATTATGCAGTACTCCCTGATTCTAAAACCTCCCTTCCATGATAACATGAGCAGCAATTTACAAGAGCCACTTACAGCAGACAGTCGGGCTGATCTTCTCTTTGGCTGGAAGTGGGGGGAAAGAATCATGAGAATTATGGATGTACAAATGTAGAGTTGTTTTTATTGAGGAAATATTTGGTTTAACACTGTAAATATTGCTACTAAGGAAGTGAATATAAATTAGGTGAAGAAATATCAGTCACACATGTGGTCCCTCTTTAACACGGTAAAGGGAGTAAAATCCTATGACAAGCTTCTTTTCACTGAGCTAAATCAGTAAAAAATATACTTTTTTGCTTACCAACTGACAAAACAGAATTTAAGCCTAAGAAGGTGCTCTCTGGATCTGATATCATAACAAGCACAGTAGAATCCTAAATTCCAAAAAGTCAGTCATTTTTATTAATGTACTTTTGAGAGAGCACCGCCATCCCCAACATTAGTACTCATTTGGTACAAATATAACCACCGGCATTTATTGTTCCCCAGTTATATGTCTTTAGTTTCTAAAATGGGTGCATATTTCCCCAGAGAAACTCACAAATTAAAGACACTCACCTCCTGACTCACATCACCTGCAGCCTAAGTAGAGGGAGAAAAATACAAAAGAGAAATAGGGTAGTCAATATGAATACACAGACCAGAAAATATTGCCGCTGGATTATAATTACAACTCTAGCCACTTGTGACTTTTTTCCTGGGTTCCCGCTCCAGCAGCCACGTGTTGTTTCCTAGCAGCTATTCTACATCTACTGTTTTAGTAATATGAAACATGCACCAAGATGCAAGTACATGCTCAAGACACGTTTATAAAGAGTCAGTGTAACGTGTGTGTGTGTGTGTGTGTGTGCGCGCGCGCGCGTGTATGTGTAAATAACGTCTCTTAAAAATAAACCATTTTCATTTTGAAATATACCTGCACTAATGTTAAAGCCAAAACAAGGGTTGGGGCGGGACGCACGAAGGCGGAGCTTCTTGCAGTTTCTCTCTCTTGCCTTATGTTTGCAATGCAATGGTATCTATCTGACCTGCTCCAGTGATTATGGACTATTTTCCTTCCCAAGTTCTGCATACAAAACAACCACCCCACCATACTTTGAAGGAAGAATGTCTTTGTTCTAACGTCAACGTTTTATTCAGAGAAGCAGGCGGAGGATTTTAAAACTTCCCGCCACTACCTGCTACAAGGTTGCTGTCAGCTCAGCAAAAAAAAAAAAAAAAAAAAGCTAGATCCATTGCACAAGTCTAAAAGAGCCCGGCGGGAGCCTCGGGAAAGGGGGTGGTGATTAGAAACAATTGCTTTCGCTATCTGAGTAGCCCTTTACCCTGGGAATTACCAGTCTATTATTTCAACGTTTCGTACAGCCTAGAGCACTGAGGAATTCAGCCTCGTTTCTGTGTTCCAGGAATACGGAAGGCGGACGGATTCACAAGAATATAAAACCAATTATAAGGCTTCTTTTACATTAACTCGGTGTTTTACGATTTCACCAAAGCAATGAAACAGCACTCCATTTTAGTTGTAAGAGACTCGGGAGGAAAAAAACAAAAACAAAAACAAATTCGGAGCGTCAACTTATTTCCTATCTACGCGGAGACAGGAATTTTGAAATGAAGGTTTACAGAAGACCTGTAGCCCTTGGTAGCTCAGATGAACTCCCTAATGTTTAAAGTGAACAAATCTCATACCACCCCACCATCCAACGCTGATTGTAGTTTCTCGGACGCGGCTCACTAATCACCTTTCCACCTTTAACTAGAGAGTTCCGAGAGTGCCAAATCTCTCAGATCTAAAGTTTCTAATTACAGCGGTGAATCTCTCCCTTCTCTAGGACAGTTTGAAGTCTGCGCCGCCTAATGGCACAGGATTACCATTGCACAGCCATCTGGCATGACAAGAAGTGGAGGAGGGAAGAGGGGGAAAAAAGGAAAAAAGAAAACGGAAAGAACAAAGGCAAAACAAGAGAAAGCCAGGGCTTTCGTTCCCCAAAAGGGGACGGTTCCAGGAGAAAAAGCTGTAGGTAGAGGAGGAAGCTGGCGCTGGAAGTGTGGTTGGAAGAAGAGTTCTCCAATAGGGTAAGCGGAGGAAGGGGGGTGGGGTAGGAAGCGACAGCACAGCGCTATGGCTGTTTGTAATTCAGCATGGAGACACCTCTCAAACGATTCTCTCCCTTAAACAAAACAAGCCAAAAGTGAACTACCAGTTGCATACGAGACCTTCCGAAACCAAACACAGACGGCTCGCTACCTTTTCCTCGCCTTCCATTCAGAACATCACAAAAATCAAACTAGAAGCCAAAATGCTCTTTCAAAACGATAGAAATCTCTGCCGTAGGAAATATGTATTTCGGCAGCTAATCTCCCGTCTATCTTCTCATTTTACTTACCTTTCTTTTGGGCATTGTTGCAGCTCTCCGCAGGAGATCCTTAGGCAGGAGGGGGAAATGCTGAGAGCAGTCTCCGTCTGACCGCTCCGCGAGCGACTGAGTTTTCAATGAACTAATTGCAGCACGATATGTTCTCGAGTCCCCCCTCCCCCTAAAAAAAATCTCTCGTTATTGGCAACATTAAACACGCCAAGACGCAACCAAACTACGTGAATGGTTAGCCGAAGTGGGAGCCAGGTTGGAGTGACAGGCTGTCAGGCCAATGAGGGGAGGTGGCAGGTTCGGAAGGCGTGGCCCGCGAACTTGCCCGAAGCCCTCGTACGCTGCCGGCTCTAACTGCCTCTGGGGTGCCGGAGTCCAAGCGCTTAGCAGACGCCTAGAGCTCCAGCGTGACTAGCAGGAAATCCAGTTTTCTTGCCTTTTCACCCGTTTATGTTATAACGACAGGCGAAAGCTCAAACAGTTGGTTTTTTTCCACGATCTCCAACCCCCCTTCCTTCTCGCGGGGTGGTGGGCCCTCTTGAGACTGAATTGAGCTAGAGCTCTGGTCTTTCCCAGTTGGCAAGAGGGTGAAGTTGAAGTGACAGGAGCACCCATTTAGAGATCGGAAGACGGGTGGGAACGCTTCTGGTCGGGAAAACTTCCCGCCAAAGCTGAACTGTGGTCCTGGCTTTAGAAGGGAGAAGGGTGCCAGAACCGCGCGCCTCCCGCAGGTGGAGAGTAGCAATAAATCTGGGACCTGGACGAGCAGGACTCTTCTGCAGGCCGCCTACCTTCTAAAAGAGCCATTACCCGGACTGGAGGGAGTCCACCAAGAATTGAATGGGGCCACGCGGGAAGTCAGTAATAGCATATTTCTACCCAGAGGAAAATCATTAGCTTTAATGGCTTCGTAGTTCAAAGGTGATTTTTAAAATTATATGTAAAACAAAACCAAACCATTCCACATCTTCATTACTGAAACTTCAGGTTTCTCCTTATTTTTATTTTATTTTATTTTGCTTCTAGAAATGCTCCCTAAACCTATTCTAGTATCAGGCAGTGTTTAAGTAGCCGCTTTCTGTTTTGAGAATCTCCCATTTGTCTTCTGGGTGTCAGAGTTTGAGACCTAAACGATTGGAGAAAGGAAAGAATAAAATACCCAGAAATATTTCTGGTTAAAACAGAGTGCTGAGGGCTGCTAATTGTTCCTGGAAGTAAGCACGCAGGTCCCTTGCAGCCTCTTTTGAGTAGTGGTTCCCCTCCCTTGTTGAAAGAGCTATTTGTATTTAAATGTGCTTCAACAACAGCCTTTCAAACTGAAAGGCTAATAGAAAGAAAGAAAGAAAGAAAGAAAGAAAGAAAGAAAGAAAGAAAATTAACCTTTTAAACAGTTACTTAAGAATTTAGACCCTGGCCTGGTGGTGCAAGTCTTTAATCCCAGCACTTGGGAGGCAGAGGTAGGCTGATCTGTGTGAGATCAAGGCCAGCCTGATCTACATATCAAGCAAGTCAGAGCTACCTAGTAAAACCCTGTCTATTTATTACCTAGAGAGACATACAATTCCATTTATGTTCATGGAGCTTAAAGAAAACACAGACTGGAGCTGGAGAGATGGCTCTAGCAGTTATGAACACTGGCTGTTCTTCCAAAGGACCTAGGTTCAATTCCCAGCACCTAAATGGCAGCTCACAACTGTCTGTAACTCCAAGGTCTGACACCCTCACACAGACATACAAGCAGGCTAATCACACATTCTGCCTCAAACAAACAAAGCAAACAAAATAACCCCCAAACAAACATGACTGTTTTATGATCGACACAATGCCATATTATCTGTTCAATCTAAACTGCACCCTGGCAGAGCCTTTCATTTTGTTTTGCTTCTTCTTCCCTTTCATGTGGAGTTAAAACAAACCACTTACACTAAGACCTGTTGGACCTATGCCCCTAACTTCACATTGCATTCTTATTCAAGTACACAAATCAAAAAGGCACATTTAAATTTGCTTCCTTTACCTGTAGTTATGTGTCATCTGATCAGGCTCTAGATGTGTTTTTTTAGTTACCTTTATGGTGAAAATATTGTTGGAAGAACCTAGGTATGTTTCAGTAATTTAATTTTCTGAGAGAAAATTGGTTTCAATATAAGAATTGTCTCATAAGGATAAGGGAAAAATGAAGAGAATGAAAACGTGTTAGCACTGGAATGCATTCATTCAACAAATTCTTATTTACCATTATTTTGTAGGTAAGATTTTTGTTTTTGTAGACTAGCTTATAAAAATGCAAACCCCTGTGGCATGCAAAGTTACAATACACAGTTTCTGCCCTTAAGGATTTTTATAGCTCTGTAGGATTGAGAAAAACAGATGCATACATATCTGCAAATCAACTTGTATGTATTATATGGATGGTAAAGTTTATATTTAATAATACAGTGGGGCGAAGGCGGGGGTAGGGAGGCTCTTTTTAAAACTGAGGTATTTGAAGAAGGCTTTTGTTGAAAAAGTGGTATCTGACTCTGAACCCTTGTGGAGATTGTTACACTGTAACAAACACAGAGGCAGACAAAGTTTGTACTTGTTGAGAGAACAGACTGCCCAGTCCCATTAAATTGAAACAAATGTTCAAGAGGAGCCCAGGGAGGTGAGTCTGGAATTGGAAGCAAGGTGAAATGTGCTATCACTAAGTGAGCTCTGGCCCCTCCCTCGCAGGTT